AAAAAAAAAAAAAGGAACAGGAGGGGAAAAAAGAAGGTGTCATGCCTACCATGATTGAATAATTGTTCCCATGAAAAAAATAAAATAAAATCTTTGACCAAATCTCACACCCACTCCTCTCAGTATCTCTGTAGTCTGTTCTTTTTCAAGTGAAGTTGGCAGCTCCATGTCATGAGCTTGATATGGCAGGCCGTCATTAACCTAACTACATAGAAAAGGCTAAGAAACTAGAAAGGTTAGTTTATCTGAACTTTAACTAATTAAAATCAACATATTTTTTCACAAAAGATCTATTGGGTTAGGTCTGTGTATATAAGTTCTTCATTTACACAAAATCTTTACTTATTTGTTTAAACATTTTGAAATAAACTCCCAAACCCAACTTTTTTTTCGAACATATATACAGAAGACAATGGTGGCATGGTGCCCTACTCATTAAGCCCACTAAAGCCAAAACTTCATTTTTCCCATATATTAATAAATTAAATCAAAGAACTTATTCTTTTTGGAGAAAAGAGAAAGAATTCCTTTACGCATTTCTCTTGAACCAGTAGTTGTGCTTTTGTACTTTTTCATCATTACATAAAAGCACAAAGGGCATTAGATAAACAAACAAGGGAATGAAGAGTGACATCTATTATATTCCTTCAAAACTTAGCATTAAGCTGTAAAATCCATAGCCTTTTACCGCATTATGATAACTCGGATGCATGTGAGCAAATCAATGGAGATAATTGATGTTTGTTATTTTCTCTTGGTACTTAATTAAATCACATGGTATCCTGTTTGATGCAATTCCTAGTCTTCTCTACTAATTTTGTTTTGGAAAATAATTCAAAGACCATTTGTTTTTAGAGTAGTGCTATAGAGATAATTTTGTTATATTATATTTTGATGTAACTTTTATATGTTATTAAATGAATGAATGCATTTAATATCATGGGTCTCACATAAATAAAAAAAATTAATCATTTAAATAACACGTCAGGTTATACCAAAAAATAATACAAAAAGATTATCCCAAAATCATTTTCCTTTTTTTTTGGTTACTTTTTTGTATAATTTTACATATCATTTAAATAATTGACCATTTTTATTTATTTAAGACTTATGATATTGAGTACATCTACTTATTTAATAACATGTAAATATTGTATGAAAAGATTATATTAAAATATTACCCTTTATATCTTTGACCAACTTTTTTACCCCAAAATAGTACTAGTAACAAAGTAAATTCATCCTTATAGTTTGATTATAATTCAATTAAAGACTACCCATTTGTACTCAAAAAAAAAAAAAAAAAAAAAAAAAAAAAAAAAGAAAGAAAAAGAAATCTACTGTTGGATTTTAAGCCACTGTTTGGTAGTGCATAAAGCAGATAAATCAATCTCCCAGTGGGTAAGGGATTGGATCTTCAAGTGGACTACTAAATCATTTTCTGTTGAACACTTACCATTAAGAAAACACTAAAGGCAATGCTTTTTCTTCTATCTGATCAAAGTGCACCCACTTTCATTCCTAGTAATGTCCAAAGGAAAAAAAAAAGTTGAAACCCAAAAATTTGGCACCTGTTCTGTAGTACCTCTTTCTCAAGCTGAGATCATTCATGATTAAATAATGACTAAATCCTTATCTAAGCAAATATTGAACTAGATTTCTCAATGCAACTGATATGTTCTGACACTTGAACTGAACTAGTTTTCTTAATGCAATTGATCTGTACTGACACCGAAAGTCATTTGTCGTCTAATTTCCATTAATCAATGTAAACAAGTTATGATCAAGTTTATCAAGAAAAAAGTAAATAAAAAGATGCAACAAGGTTTGAATGGAGAACTCAATATGTAAATATACAATACCTGATTGCCAGGAATGGGATTAGCAATATGGTCACTAATTACAACAGATTTCCTTCTAGTCAGTACTTGAACTGATGCAACTGAAGCTTGATGATCTGAAAGCATGTGTCATGGAGAAACTTCCAGCTCTGTAAATCGAAACATCCCAACTTCTTACTCGTTATCATGTCATCTTAAAATTTTGATGAAAGTGCTCGTGTAACACCCTTGATAATTCTTGAAATTGATGATAAAACAAAAATTGCAGGAGAAAAGTAGTTTCAATCTGCCTACTCAATCCTGTCTTCATCATTGGAATTGCTTGGATGTGGCACAACAACATTTTCACCATCATTTGAAATTGCAAAGCCATTCACATTGGTACTTACTAATGACTGGCTTTCACCTGGCATATCACTCATAGTGCCAGTAACAGATTCTGGCAAATCAATGTCCATGGCATGGTTTTCAAGAATTGAGTTATGGTCAATGTCGCTTGAAATCACAGGTGCCGGTACCTAAACTTGTTTTTATTAATCTTATGAAGGTAGATTAGTAGGTAATACTGATTATTTTCCTGTACAAATTGTGTATTAGTAATGCAATTGAACAATTTACATGAGTTCCAAAATTGGCATGAACACTATTAATGCAGTGGACTGATGTCTTGAGGATTGCTTTAATCTTGAAGGGCACATGTGACAAATTGGCATGCAAACATCTTCACTCAAAATCCAAGGTCAAAACTTGGGCATTCATCGGTTTCCATTGCAATCTTGAGATCTTCTGAGTTATTGTGTTTATCCTCAACTGGCTCAGGAGGACAGCGGATTGAACTTGAAGTGCCAAAAACAAATGCTTCATTAAGATATTGGGTATTGGCTTGAAGATTATTCGAGTCAGACTGTACAACACATTTCATATTTTGTTAACATAAGAGCTTGCAAATAACAGTGGTAAATATTTTTGTTTGAAATAATGCAAAGGGTTTGAGTAATTCAGGCAATGAATTGGATATGGCAGAGGAACTAAAAGAATGACAGATCAAACCTGATGAGAGTTTCCAGCGTCAGTGTCCTTGGAGAGTTGTCCACCACTACCACCAGATATTAACCTGGCTGATATCATCAATGATTTATGGTAAGAGATATGTGATTAATAAAACTTATGAGCATCGTGTTGCAACTTGCAATTGGTCATGATAATGCACTCAAACTTGCCTTCAGGAGAGATAACCCTAGGTGACTTCCCAATGTCCACTTCTCTTGATCCATAACACACTGTTGATATCCCCTGGAATTGACAATCTTCTTCAGGAACATCTTGAAGCTTCTTGGTGGAAGAAACTTGCCTCATTCCACCATTATTGCTACATGCAGAAACATTAACAATCTCTTTGGCCAAAGGTTTTTGGAGAACAGACAAGATTTGCTGAGCTGTGCGAAATAAAGCATGAAATTAGTTGTGCTTTTAGTATCAGGACTGACCTAAGACTGATATTGAATGACTGGCCATTGACCATTTAAAGACAAACATTTGCAAGATAATCAGTCATTGCCATTGAATGGCGATGCTATTTGACGGTGATACTAACTGGGAAGTGAAAGAAAGCAAAATGGTACTCTTAACATTTAGATAAGAATGGGAAAGAGAGTGTAAATCCTAGTTCTAGCAAGTGCAGCAGATATTGATCAGTAAATCACATAAGAACCAATACAACAAACTGTAGCATTGTAAGAGAGAAACTTCAGGCTTTCCAATATTCTTCTATACTTCATTACGAAGATAGGGAACAGAAGGCTTGATACATAAACAATCAAGTCTAGGAGGGGACAGGCATCACACAGAAGAAACAGGCTTTCTTTTTTAATTGAGAGAGAAAACATGCTTTAAATCTATGAATCTTGAAATACGATCTATGGATCTTGAAATACGTAATGATAAAGAATGTTTATACCATCACGGAAAGGCTTGTTGGCTGAGAAACTCTTTCTTAATTTTAAATCATCTATATTTGAGACAGTGGAATTCAGTTGCAGATATTCCTTAGGACAAGTGTAATTTTGAGGCTTCCCTGCAGAAAATTTTCAACAAAGGGAAAGATTATGATCTGTAATAGCGTTAAATTATGAACAGAAAACAAGACAAAGAGAAGAATAAAATCCTTTACAGAAAGAGCAGTGGGAATGGGTTCAACCAAAATTTTAGCAAATACATATTTTTGAATGGCCCAGGAAAGATGGAAGTATACTTATAGCAGGTTGAGAAGCTTGAAAGTAAAGTATTAAGAAACAATTGATTATAATCAGATCAGTGCGTAGTTGAAGGAAAACCTCCTTAGCAAATCAACTTACAGAATCAGCCACCACATAAGAAACACAATGAAAAAAAAAATTTTGAAGACTCATGCTAACAAACCATTTAAAACCAATTTATTGGCTGTCTGACAGTTCTGCTTTCTATGAATCATTTTCTCCCCAGTGATATTGCAACTGCTTATTTGGGCACATGAATTTTTCAAATCTTGATGATGGTTTCCTTCAGGTTCCCCAATGTCAACCAGATGGGCGTCAAATGCAATTGATTCACCAGATCTTATGACTTCGTCTTTTTTTAGGAATCTACTATTCAATAGTTTCTTGCTTGCATCATACAGCATGATCTGAACTAAAGGCAGAAGAAAGACGTCTGTTAACATAAATTAGACCCTTGAATGGAGCAAAAAGAAATAGGAAGAAAGAAAGGAAAACAATCTTCAGTTACATAAATCAACAAACAAGCGATCTATGTTTTCACTGCCAGTAACTGACTTATTAACTGGGCAACTAAAAGATAGAAATGGCCTTCTCATTAGTAACTCATAAAAAGGAGAAATAAGGGACCTATGGGGTGAGCTATTTCGTGGAATTGACAAAAGAGGTTACTGACTTGTTATAAAAATGTAAAGTTCGGGGAAACAGACCTGCCTCCCTCGGGATTCATAGTTTGCAAGCCTTAAGATACCTTCATGATACTTCTTGGCTTTCTGCGTAACATGTGTAGTATACAGTACCTGCCATTCTAAATAGAAAAGGAAATGTTTGACAGAATATTAAGTTAGTCTTATATGTCCAACTGAACAATTACTTACAGCAGTTTTTGTTACTTGCATGGTTTGGATCAAGATTCCTAACACATCACTATATCTGTTCAATGTTTTTAAATTTATTTAATGATGTCCTTTTTGTTCTTTGCAACACGGTTAAGAAGTGTTTCTGACTGTGGTTGATGCAGAAGAAAATTCACAAGTGTAACCTTCTATTTTTGTCTGCATTGTGTATGCGTTACTCTCTGTTGCTCCTGGTATGTGTTCTTCAGTCGTCTTGAACTCTGGAAAATAAATCCAAGTGTGTTACCATGAACAAGTGCATATAGGGAGCTGCACATTGACTATCTTGTCAATGACAACATCAAACGCAGCATTAGAAACATTATTATGGCGAATAACAAGGGGGCTTAAAAACAACAGATTGTCCGTTTAAGAAATTGCCCACCAACAGAAAGACAAACTCATGCAACATTACTTCCAATCACCTAGCTGAAAAAGCATATGTAGAGAATGTGTTGATTCACTTGATTGCTATGCATCCTGAACAATATTTACACTTACCAACCTTTTTTGACAATTCCATCACTTTCATATTTATTTTGCTCTCCATGTCTTACCCCAACGTTATTTCTGTTTTTTCCTTCACCAAGGTTTCTTTCACATTCTCCGATCTCAACCATATAAGCATCAAATGCTATTGATTCACCAGAAGTCACTACTTCATCCTTCTTAAGAAACCTGCTATCTAAGAGTTTCCTGCTTTGGTCAAACAACATGACCTGGGAAAGTTTCAAAAGAAGCAAGTGTGAGCAACTAAGCATAAACTTTGCCTCTACATTAAACCTATCAAACTTAAATATCAGTTAGACATTGATATCTAAGTCTCTAAATCTACCATATTCCCATAGATAGATACAAGGAAAAAAAAATTGTAACTAGGGACTTGTAGTTCAACCAAAAAGAATAGAGACCATAGAGTAGGTTATTATATCAACAGAGAAGATGGTCACCCATCAGAAGAATACTATCTATTGGAGCTTTCAGAATTAACCTTTCTCCCCATGGATCCACAGACTGAAAGACGTAAGAAACCATCATGATACTTCTTGGCCCTTTGAGTTAGTTGTGTAGTGTAGAGGACCTGCATTTCTACATGGAAAAGGGTATATGTCAACTGGGTGAATGAAACAACAAATGGCAACATAAACTGAAACTAGCAGCAATACTTCTCCACAATGCCCCATCTGTTTACTAGACCAAAGAATAAAGAAATCATTTAGAAAATCAAGTCTACATGCAAAAGGAAGCAATTCTTTAACTAACCAGTGGTGTTAGGCTCCATTCTATTTGGACTAATCTGTGGAGCTCCACATTTTTGCAGTTCGCTATCCTTGAACTCTGAAACACACAAAACCAACCTGTTATGTTCGATTTCTTCAGTATTCCCATTAAAAATAATAAAAATAAAGATAAAAGCAGGAAATGAAGAAACAAAACAAAATTATGCAAATGATCAAACTAACTAACCCCTGATTATCTTCTGCGACGGAGTTAGATTGCTTGACCTTACTTTATTCTTCTGTGAATTGGCCTTTCTCAGTTCTGAAAAGGAAAATAATCCAACAATTTAACAAAACAAAGAAACAAAAGAGAAGCAATTCACATCTACTGAGAATGGAAAAACAGAAACGAAACTTCTGAAAACTAAAAGGCTTATAGACAGAAGGTAATAATACCAGAAGAATTTGAGTTGTTCTTCAGCTTGTGAAAATTTAAGTCATCATCCTCATGATCTCCTTCTGGATCACCAACATCAACCAAATAGGCATTAAATGTAAGAGTTTCCCCAGAGGTAACATCTTCATCTTTTCTCAAGATCCTGCATTCCAGAAGCTTCTCACAGTCATCGTACAATATCACCTGCATTCCGAGTAAACAGATCAAATCGAAAACGCCATTAATTCCAATAATAAGTCAAATTAGATCTGCAAAAGTAGCTGAAAATCTCAAATATATAAAATAAAATTAAAAAAAAAAAGAAGAATTCGAATCTCATTTCAACAGACCGATTCAGCTTCGTAGAGTAGAATTATACTAAAAATTAAAGGAAGATTTCAGATATAGTTTTTGCAGCGGAATGAAATTGCAGATTTTATGAGCTAAAAAAAAAAAAGAAAATTAGAAAACGAGGACGATGGTACCTTGCATGTTGAAGTGTGAAGATCGAGGAAACCATCTTGATAAAGTTTCCTCTTCTGTTTGATGTGTTTGGTGTAGGTGACGCTCCATCGTTTCTTCTTCTGCTCTTCCATTTTCGGATTCCTCGAAGAAGAAGAAGAGAGGCGTCTGTTCAATTTCTGAAACTTGGTAATTGGCGGGATTTTAACCGGATGCGAAGATTTCGTTTCCCCCTTCGGTCACCTCAATACGGCGGCGTCTAAGGACTAGAGAAATTAGGAAGAAGAGAACCCGAGATCCCAGGAGGGGAGAGGAGGAGAGACATCTTCCGGCCCAGCCCGAACCCTTGAATAATGTTCTGTGCTTCTGCATTAATATATGAGGTTAGTTATTATTTGTTTTACTTTTAAAAAATTATGAAAAAATAAATAAATAATATTATAATTTATATTTTAAAAATAAAATATTTTAATTTTTTTAATAAATATTTATTAAAATAATATAATTTTATAATAATATTTCTCATAATCTTTAAGAGATAAAACGAATAAATACTATTTCCTTAATATATATAGTACATGACATTACAATAAATGACTAATAAATATTAATTTATGTGTAGTACCTTTTAAATAAAAATGATTATTAATCTTTAAGTGATAAAACGAATAAATACTATTCCCTTAATATATATAGTACATGACATTACAATAAATGACTAATAAATATTAATTTATGTGTAGTACCTTTTAAATAAAAATGATTATTAATTATTAATTTTATTGTTAGCATTAAGTAAATAAATTTAATTAAATAATTAATAAATTAAAGGTTAATTTTATCATATAATAAAAATGTATATTTATTATACTTTTAAAAAAGTTCATTATAAAATATAAGGATAATATTCGTGTTAGTTCTAATTTCTAGAAAAAAAAATTAGAGTTTTAATTTTAAATGGCATTATTTTGTTTAATTTAAAATTTAAAAATTTATCTTATTAAATATTGATACTTATATTTAATAAAATAAATTCATAAACTTTGAATTAAAATTTAATTAAATGAAATAATATTGATACTTTAATTTTTTTAAAAAGTCAAAATTGATATGCAATATTCTTATAGATAAAATAGTATATTATATCATGCATATAAAAAAATATTGTAGATTTAGTAGTTTTGTTCTTTATATTAAAAATATGTTAATAGGTTATTATATATAAAAAAAACTCAAACCGTAATAGCTTTAAAAATGTTAGAACATTTAATAACAACACAAAATGAATGTAATAAATTTTAGATTCACATTAGTATATCTTATTTCCGGTTAGAAAAATTGTCATTTAAAAAAAAAATTATGTTAAAGTAATTATTTTTTTATTTTTTAAGATAAATAAATATTTTTACTTTGATTTTATTATGATTTATTTATTTTAATTAATTATTTTATCATAAAAATCTTATTTTATTTTTTAATTTTTTTAATTATATAAATAAATACATAAATAATTTTTAAATTATTAATTTAAAAATACAATAATTATTTTAAATATATATTTAGGCACAGGTTAAAAATACAATAAATGTATCTTTTTGTAATGAATTCATATTAAAAATTCATAAAAATTGACATATATTTTAATATTACTAACACATAGATGATTTTAATTGATTAATTAATTAAATCAAAATAAATATTTATATTTTTAATAAAAATAATTATTAAAAAGTATATTTATTATACTATTATCATGTACCTAAAGATATAAGATAAAAAATCTTTAATAATTATAATTAAAATATGTCAATATTACTTTTATTACTAAAACGTCTTAATCTTTTTATTTTCTCAAATTTAATAAGACAAAAAAACCCCTATAGATACACTAACAATAAAGAAGATATCCTAAAACCACATCCATTCACCCTCAATACAAGACAAGGAAGGAAGAAGGTAAACTCAGTTCTGGCCTAGGGTGAGCCAACAACTCAAGCAATAATAGACTTCACACCAGTGGCGGAACCAGGAATTCTCATTGGGTAGGACCTTCCTGTCTTTAGTTCACACACTAAACAGAAAATCATTATCTAAGAAAGAATAACACGAAACTAGCTTCAATTTTTTTTTTTTTTATGATTATCCAGTATTCAGAAATTTATTGGGCCACTGATTAATCCGGATTCGAGCCGAGCAGGACTCAATAGGCGGCAAAACTCTCTCTCATGAGTTTTAATGGAACTGCATTTTCAGAGTTTGAACTCAAAATCTCTGATTAAACTGAAAGAGTTCCAATCAACTCATCCACCCGCTCATGGGTCGAAACTAACTTCAATTAATTCATTAAAAAATACATTGTGTCATCTTCGACCATAAGAAAACAAAGTGTGATTGTCTGCATTAATTACGAAACTAGAAAAATGGAGGCAGTGCGGGGTCTAGTTTTGTTGGCTTCAGTTCTGTTAACGAGGTCGAGACCCACCACCTTTGGCCGCACGCAGGGACAGAAGCTTATGAAGGACAAGGTGGCAGCCGCCCCCCTAAGCTCTTGAAAAACATTTAACATGGTATTTTAATTTTAATTTTTATAGTATAGATTTCAAAGATTATTTTAAATGTAGACAAAATATTTAAGATCTAAATAAAGAGTTTTTAAAAAATAAGACTATGATTCAAATAAAATAAATTTTATGTCAATTTAATTAATTAAAAATTAAGGTTCTTAAACATTTCTTTCATCTATTAAACTCCCAAAAAAAAACTTTAATTTTTTAATTTAAATAAATTTAAATTTATAATTTTCTTTA